AGAGAAATCGCGCGCGTAACTCACTCGGAAAATTGACAGGTCCCGCAACAATGGCCGATCTCTCAAGACCAAAGGGTATCACCATTCTTCGCAGATTCCGCTGTCCAGTCCCGCTATGCGACGACGTGAGTCGCCCACCTCCTCGAGATGAAGATGAATACGAACCAGAATGGGTGGTCGCCGAGGGACGAGAATGGAAGGGTCAAAAGAGGCCGGTGTACTACATAAAATGGAAGGGGTATCCCTTGGCAGAAGGGACCTGGGAGCCGTTCAGTAACCTCGGAAGAGAGCTACTCCAAGAATTTGTGCCTGTCAATAGCGTTTCAGACCAAGGAGAGCCTCCCAACTCCGACGACCGCGCAACACCTTTCGAGCTCAACCCGCCGATTTCGGCCAAAACCCACGCGGACGGTGGGATGAAAGTCGAGCCGGACCGCGACATAGTTTCCAGCTGCATCAAACGTGAGGAAGATCCCTCAGATGCGTCCGTCCATGCCTCCAATCTTCCGATCTATGGCGTCCCCGAATCCGGATCGACCTTAAACGATCGTGCGGACTACGACGAAGAAGGGGGAGAGCGGCTGCCACATTCTCACCGTGACACGCCGGTGAAGTTAGAGTCGACCCAACGTGAGGCCGACTGTGAATCATCCGAGGCACCTTCGGAGTATCAGCCCTCTGAGGGCGAGAGTTCAGACGATGAGGAATACGCCATTCAAAATCCAACGCACGTCCCTGGCTCCGGGGTGGCCCGTGCCGACACGGTGGAAGACACAATCAGCACCAACGTTCTGCCCGGGGAGAGTCAATCTGCCACCTTGCGGTCGGCGGCAACGTCAACCAAGGATTCCAATACCAAAAACGCTCACCCCCGCAACCCGCTCAAATTCAAGGAACTCAAAGATACACCTTGTCCAGGTTGTGACAAATCATTTACCGCCGAACGAATACATTCAGCCATACGACTTCCTTACCGGAAAAACCGGTACCACTGCCGCAATTGCGTCAAACGCTATCGGAAATGCGGCGATCCTGCTCCTCGTTCCACTAGAACCAACATTAAAGCGAAACTTCTTGCAAACGAGGATTGTCCTGGTTGTGGGAAGCCGTTTCAAGTGGTGGGCGTCACACGGGCAGAGAAAATGACCACGAAAGAGGGTTTGATGGCATACCACTGCGTCGGCTGCGTCATTCGACGGATCGAGGCTCAACCTGAACTACGTACAGAAAACCTTTCGACACAGGAAGCCCGGAACAAGCTGGGATCGGAACGAATGGAGCTTGATTTGCTAGGTCGGGACTAAGGACAGCACACCGCCGAGTCCAATGTCCCGAGGGATAGGCGTAGCATGCCCTGGCTCAATGTCCGCTGCGAGAAATGTGGTTTTAATACTACGACCGAGTGGACCACGAAAGATTCGCGCCTACTGTGCTCGAAGTGTGCTCAATATGCTTGGGCGCATAATGGAGAGATGCGAGATCCAAAGGGACGAGGGATGCATTATACAGACGTGACCTTTACATGTGGAGATTGTCAAACAGAGGCAGAGATGGCAAGCAGTAAATGGCTTCAAGAACGGCGGGTCTGTGGAGCCTGTTACCAATACTGGGGTCAGCACAAGAAGCCGCGACCTCTCGCGGTGGTTCAACGTTCCCAAGCAAATCGGCGTGACAAGGATGCAAATCAAAAGCCTAAGTGCGCGAATCCGTCTGGTTGCCCAAACAAACCTACAAGGCGGTTGGGCGCTGAACGAATATGCTGCTCTTGTCTGAAATATTACAGAAAGCATAAAAAATGGAGGAACGTAAATCAGCGACAACCGCGACGTCTGTTGGCTGTTGAGTGTGTTGATTGTGATCGACCGCTGAATGGAAAAGGGTCAATTGTGACTCTTGGAATACCGGGCTGGCGCTGCAGCGCTTGTCAACTCCATTTTCGGAAGCACGGAGTCGTGCGACCGAAAGATGGAGTCCGTCGCCCTGCCCCGAGCAAAATCGAACAGGCTGAAAGTCCTGGGAGTGGGCCATCTTAAGACACAAGCCGGAAAAGACAGTCTGCGCGGTCAAGGGATCCTGTACACACAGAGACGTGTGCGCGACCCTCACCGCTATCGCCAACGATTGTAAAATTATTCCGCAAAGACTGGTCAGACTTTGAAAACGCCCCGGATTTTCCATACTTTTAGTCTCTAAATAAATCTAAGAGCAGCAACTCATTCATCTCTCCGAGGGCAAGAGAACCAATGGAATGTTCCCGTGACCTGTCGCTGGACGAATCGCATTGATCCCTGGCTGAGGGATGATTCGAACTCTCTGACCATCACGGAGCAAAATGAGTCCTACGGGTCTTCTATCCCTTGACACCGCCGTAGCTACGGGCTGCTTCGTGCCACGCATCAGAACTTTGCGATGTGGCGGAGAGCAGTTTGGAATTACTTGATTACTTTACCTGATTCTCGCTCCAGTCTTCGCCGCGAAAAGCTGTGCTCCTAGAGCGACACTTTTGGATAATTTCTTGATAAATTTCATGAATCCCTAGAAGTGAAAAGGCTGCTTTGACGTTGAGCGTTGGGCGTCAATTTATTGGACGACGCAGGTGTAGCCTTGTCGAGGCTCCGGAGCGATGGCATATGCTGCCTAAGCCCTAAGGTGGATAGATAGATCTCGTGTTCGAATCAGCATCGAATTACGCCGCCGAAAGGCTAAGATCGAGATGGCTGGTTATGCCGGACAAGCGCCCGCTACCCGCATTAGTCGAAGCTGGTCTGCCGCCCTCAAAGCTTCAGCCGCAGGCTGGCTGGGGCGCATGCAGCCCTACACAGCTCTTGTCAGAACCACACTGCTGACTGACTGCGATTTTCGATATTTTGAGCAATTTTGAACGTGTGAAATAGCGTTTGCTCGCATCATGCGCGCCTGCAGTGGCAATCGACTAGATGTCCCTCGAGCCCGGGGCTGTGCGTGTCGCACGACCTAAAAAGCTCCTGTGTTTGACAACCTTACCGGCTTCCCTCAAGCCCAAACACCACATTCGGTGGTTACATCGAGAGTCAATGTCCCTTGCACGGAAGTCATTGCCATGACCGCGACACGCCCGCTACACCTCCAGCCCCTCGTTGTTTTCATCGGCCCCTCCGACGGAGATATGGTTAGAAGAGTGGGATTATCAGATATCGAGCGAATGATACTAGCTGTAGCAGTCCTAGTTGGAAGTGAGAAACATATTTTCTGATGGGAGAAGTAGAAACAACATGGGCAGTGTTGGCAAGAAGGGAGGGAAAGAGATGGACATTCAAACTAGGGCGCAGGAAGCGTCCTGCGACCGTTTATTGGATCTATCGCTTTTGGCTCAGGAACACTAACCAACGCGTATGCCACACGCTGAACCTGAACCAGACAAAATGGAGGTACGTCAGGGGAGAGTGACAACGCTGAGATACATTCCACCTGCGGAGGATGAGGAGACTTGGAGAACGGACACCTTCCACTTCCTTCAACATCAACTGGTACCGACCCTATCATCAGGGCCTGATTGATGCCATGACCGATTTTACTGGGTCGGGAGAAGTATTCAATTTGCAATGGCCCTCTGAGGGCGTTTTCCAGGGTCATTCACAATTGTCAGGTATTGCCGCGACCTATAACGGGGGCAGTCACCTTCATCCATCCCGAACCGATTGTCTCGCGCAGGAGACAGAATTCAACTCCACGAGCGTCGAACCCACGTCCTTCAGTAACTCAAGAGAACTTGTCATTTTGGAAGAGAAGGATTGGGATCCACAACAGGTCTGTGATGGATACCAATTCCACTGCACAAAGGTGGTAGCGTGCACGTCAACCGGCGTTACGTGTAAAGGAATTGAAGCCAGATACTATACGAGGAGGAATACAAAATACACGGCCTATCGCCCTATGTGGTGTTTATGAAAGATAGGGTCGAGGGGTTGAGAGAGAAACAAAATACTCAAATCGAGGACTCGCCCGACAATTGGCAATGATACTAGAGAGGCATGTCTCTACAGCATAGGTGCGTGGTCGCAAGTTGTCGCACGTAAAGAAGAGTGTTGACAATGATATTCGCCCAGAAGATACTAATATGCACAGCAGCGACAAGAGCAACCTAACTTGATCTGCTCCATACCATGCTACCTCCCCTCGACTCTCACCACGGCATCGGTCAACATAACAGATGATACCGCTGGCCGTGATAGCCCTTCCTTTCCCTCGACCCATTGCACGCAGGCCCTATCAAACGAAACTCCAGGCTCATTCGGTCGACGGTCTCATCCATTCGATACGATGTCAACTCCCAGCTAGAGCCACGTCGTTCGTATTCCGCACCGCGCACGCCCATGACCTGCCCCGAGCCCAACCGCCAATAGTGATGTGAAACCTCTGGGTAAGAATTGGCCACAGGGGTTCTACAGGCCCCATCAAGAACTCCGAGCCAAAAGAGTTAAAGCCCTGGACTAGAAGCGTCATAATGTCAACATTCGGGACAAATGAACGGCGCTTGAATGTCTTAGCGCAGCCCTTATCGGCCTGAATTCTCTTCAATTTAGTCAAACGCCCCTTTAAACCAGTATTGCAGTGATTTTACTTATGTCCTCGTCTGCTTCATCTACAGTGAATATCTTCAAATGGAGAGGTGGTCGGGACTTCGAATCTGCGGAATGGTAGATCCATGAATTCGATACTTGTTCAAATCTCCCAGATACGTTGTCCTTGCTTCCGAATGTTGATCTTCGTACGCCGGAGGGATAGCCACCTGCAGGTCCGCGAGTCTGGTTTTGATCTCCTTTATTTCACTCAACGCCCAAGCCCGGCTGAAGTCGTCCGTCCAGTCCCCATTATACGTGGTTTTGAGAAGGATATCTCTCTTTCTCATTAGCTGCTTATGGGTCAAGTCGATACGTGGCGAGATATAGAGAGCTGCGAGGCCGGAAGATGGTGCACCATCGACCTTAGCGACCTCAGTGCTGTCAATCGAAAGATACCGGAGACTCGAACTAAGGTGGTTGAGATCCATGACCGCATCCGCGGGGGAATGAAGATTGACTTTCAAAGTATGGAGATGGGAGAGTTTCCCGAGTGCTTGCCAGGACCCTTGTAGCTGGCTCAATTCAAGGTGGGTAAGTGAGGTAGGGAGACACTCGAGATCAACCAGCGACTCGTAGCCCAGAACCGTTAAGTGGGTCAGGCGGGGTAAATGGCCGATCGAAGACAGCGAGAACGTTCCCCCTGTCGGTTTGTCCGATATATCCAGGCATCTCAGGGTAAGACTCTTCAATTCGGGTAGTGCCACTCCGAGCAGACGCATGTCATCTTCAGCTGGAATGTGCGGGACATCAAAAGATAGTTCCAGAGTGGAAAGCTTATCTGGACACGAATCCGCAAGAAAGCGATAGAATTCCGGCCAAGGGTTCAGACGATGAATTCGTAAGTCCTCAATGTTAACCAACCCTTTTAACCCAACGAATTCTCTTAGTTCCAAAGAGTCACCCACGTTCCAAATTGGACCATCCCCCAGGCCGATATCCAAGCGACGAACTGTAGATGGGATGGCGCTAGAAAGTGCCTAGACCTCTCAATTAGCTGCGACGAAGAAAGCTTAAGTGAGAGTGAGGAGGTACCTGTAGGTCTTCAACAGAAGGCCCGAATATCTGTAACAATCGCAACCGACCCTCGTCAACTATTTCGTTTACGTATTTGGGTGGTATTGGTGTCCTGTCGGCAGAATCACGGTCAACTCGCAAGGCCACAGCACCAGAGAATCGTTGTATTGTGTGTTCTAGTGTCCAGAATTTCTTAGTTGACACATGAACGGCGAAGCGCCTTCGCAGTCGAAAAGGGGTTTCATCGACGTTCTCAGCCCAATCACGCGTCGACTCCGCACCAGGCCAAGGTCGGTAGTAGTCTGATAGAACAGACGACATTTGATCGATGATGATCCGGTGCCCGAAACGTTCAAATAATGGGTCCCCAAGAAGATCGTCAATATACTCGTGATTCGACTGCTGATGAGAGAGTCGTTTTGTCCACCTCCAGATGATGGGTTCTGTGGATGGGTCATGAGGCTGCACGGCAGTGACGCAGCCCAACCCGTCTCTTGTGTAGTCGACTTGGCGGTCGAATGTCGCGGCCCATGACGCAGCTCTGATTTCCCGTGGTACGTTAGATATGATGAAGTGATCAAGGAACTGGAGACGCAGAACAAGGTCTTCGGTAGACGGATGTAGGGAAGTCGACAGTGCCATGGTGAGCGATGCGGTTTCGAGCTCTTTTGTAAGAACAAAAGAAGGATTCGATGCACCACGACAATTAGGCGTTGGGCATGAAGTGGTAATAAACCCTACATGCGGCTGGGGCCTATTCACGTGATATGTAGCCACCCTTGCCACGTCAGAGTACTTAAACTCCGTGAATCCAGCATTTGAGATCACTCCCGACATTTACAAGTTCCGTGCGTAATACCAGACTAAGATGGGCTTCAAGAGGGGGACTGGCGGTGTGTTAAAAGCTGCGGAGTAAAGGGTTTATAAACACGATACTCGTTGGACTCTCCAAGCTTACTATGCCGAAGGGATATTCACCTGTGGGTCCGCGGGTCGGTTTCTGATGTCCTTTACGCGCAAGCTCGGCTAAAGTCGTTCTCTGTGCGCGGAGACAGTCATACTAAAGATGACGTTCCTACTCCCTATCAGCTGCCAATTTGTCACATCGATGCGTGGTGAATTGTAGAGAGCAACGAAGCTAGGAGGCAATGCGCTATCAATCTTGACGGGCTCAGTGCTGTCAATAAAAAGATACTGAACGCTCGATTTAAGGTTGAAATCCGTAGCCGCATCCGGGAGGAACAAAGATTGAGTTTCAAAGTGTGAAGAAGGGAGAGCCTATTGAGTGCTTGCCAGGACCCTTGTAGCTGGTCCAATTCAAGGCCGGTAAGTGGTTTAGGGAGGTAGTCAAGGTCAACGAGCGTTTCATAGTCGAGACATCTTGTGAGACTTTTCAGTTCGGGTAGGGCGGTGCCGATGCGCTCTATCTCGTATTCAGCTGGACCGTGCGATGAATGAAAAAAGGATAGCATCAGCGAGGCATGTGGTCGTCCCCTTTCCGTTGTGGGAAATAACAACGAGGCTAATGTCCAAGCGACGCAGTGTGGGGAGGATCGCGCGCGAAAGAGTCTATGACTTAAAGTCAGCGGTGACGGGATCAAAAGTTCGAGGGATTGTAAGGACGTGCCCGTAGGTTGTCGATGGAAGGCGAAAAGACCTGCAAACATCGTAAGCGATCTTCGTCACTTATATTGCATGCGTGGTGCATGGCGCAGTGTCGATGCCCTGAGACAGCGCGACTGAACAGAATGCATTAGAAAGGTGTATACCGATATGATTGCGATCAATCTGTCGCTTTCTCAAGGACTGCCAGCGTTTAATAGACGGCAGCAGTAAACCACGTATCTTGACGCCGTCCTCTGACCTTGTTCTTCTCTTCTCTTCAATCTTAGGCCAGTTTAACACAACATAGCCTCGCACCGCACGAATATACCTCCCACGTCGAACCCGCGAAGCTAGTATAGGTATTGTATCTCCCCTCTCCTCAGCAAGGCCTGAGATGTAAGCGGCAAAGAAAATCTTTGAAGATGGAAGTCGTCGAAGGACGGCATGCTGTGTCGTGCACGAAGTGTCGTCCTTTTCAGCCTGGTCAACGCGCTTGGAAACGACAGTTACTGTATGATTCAACGAGGTGGGTGAATAATGAGGGCGGAGCTCCGATATTGTCCTGCGGAGCCGACCGCCCCTAGTCGTTTCCAACATGATGGGGCCACGGTGGCACGCTTGGCAATCACGTAAAAGATTCAAGAACTCACCCTGCGTGTCGACGCCCTATAAGCAAGACAGAAGATAAAATTGTTGACTCCTTTCTCTTGATCGTTTCCACCTTCAACCTGCGGTACAGTACATACAGTACTACAACACCAAATGACAACAATTACAGGCCGTCCATCCTTGTTATTGCTCGATCCGGACGAAGACCCCGCCAATACTAAAGTAGCCATTATCGGCCTCGATGCGACCGGATTAGCACTGGCTGGACATTTTATGCACCGAGGTTGTCAAGTAGCGGTGTACCATCACCCAGACTCTGTCAGCGACCTCTCAAGCAGTAAATCAACTTGTTCGATCTACCATTCCATCGATGAGTACGGAGGCTTTTACATGTCGGGCGCAATCGAAGCTTTCAACAAGCCAAACATGTGCGAATACCCTCACGATGCCTGCTATCGAACCCGAACGATCTTCATTACAAAAGCTGGTCAAACAAAGGAAACCGTTAGAAGACTTGGAAGAATGCCCACCAGCAAGCAATGCTTTTTGTTCGTGGAAGGCGGCTCTGACTGGAAAGAACTCGCATCTGAGCTGCAGGGATCTGCTGGCGTGTTCAACATTCCAACGTCTCCATACGCCTTCCCTAAAGTGCACAAAGAGTCGAGATTGAGGGTTGAACTTCAAGGCATTCTAGATGGAGTCACTCTGGACGAATTAGAGCAATCAAATGAGGAAGGCAACGCTCGAACCTTACTTGGCGTTATATTATGGCCTTGGAGTCATAGCCTCGGATGGATTACGGTTTGAAAGATGAGAGGGCCACACAGAGGTGAGAGATTTGATGATTGAGTTTGGGTTCAAGCCGGTCGATATGGTCCTGGGACGCGGCGTTCGAATGAACTCCCTCCTCGTCTATGTTGGCTCCTTGGGAACTATCTCCTCGCGGAAGGAGCCTTGAGACTTCTTCAGAATAGCTTCGAAGTCTTTATCCGCGCAGGAGGGTAGTGACGAGGCTGGTATTTTTCTCGGTTCGCATTCTTGGCTCGTTCGCTGACTTACCAGAGCGGAACCGAAAGAGTGATTGAGATACTCTCGCGACTCGCAAACGCAAAGCACGCGGCCTACCGGCCAGTAGCCACGAACACTCCCGCTGTGTAGAAGGAGAAGGGCGAGCCCCAAGACTACAAAGACTTATGAGAGAACTGGCTAGGATAGCCTTAAATAGAATCATTATTGACCAGATCTCAGGGATCCCAGTGCTAATATGGGTCTGCGCGCAACTCCACAGAGAGCTCGCGTGGGATACTATGCCCGAAAACCGGTTTCGAGGGGGGTGGGGTAGGCGTCCCTCAGGGGACGAGTTCACTTGCCCGCTGCCTTTTATGGAAGGTGTGCGGTGCGTCCCCTGACGTTCGGAAATGCCATGCTGAGACGACAAGTGCCGAAAAATGGTTTGCTCGCTTGAGGTGGGAGACCGACCGGAGAAGAAACAATGTCGACACGCGTAGCCAGGCTGAGTCTAAAGCCGGATCACAGGGCGATCCATCTTTGCGCGGAATTAGCTGTGACACGTCGTTAAGCGTAAAGGCCTTAAGATGTCGTTCAAGGCGGTCACGACTAATAGATTCAATGCTTTGATGTGTCGCGATATGCTGTGTTGAAACTGAGACAGATCGCCGTTCCTGGAACGTCTCAGGCTAGGCCTCAGACATGCAGGAGTCAGAAGAGGGTCTTGCAGGACCAGAGGTTGCATATAAACGAGGAGACACTGCCTGAGAATAGGCACAACACGGACAGACAGACCAATATACATAATTCTGCTCAGACCTCGCCAATCCAACATGCTGCAACACGTAATCGGCACCAATTCTCAAGGCGTTCTGGTAGTGGCAGCATATCAATGCCTGCTCTGGACTGACAACGTTGAGCCCCCATTGTTCCAATAAAGTTATTCGCTTCTCGGTAGTCATGAACGAGCTAAAAGATGCAATAATTACACTTCTTTAACAAGTCTTGTGCTGTAAGGCTCGCGTTCGGCGCTACGCGTTTTCATTTCGCACTACACGCGCTAGCCCGTAATTTTTCGCGCTACACGTCTCCGCCTGCCCGCGAAATATTTGGCACTACGCATGAGAATACGCTCAGTAGGGGTCGCAGGCATCGCTCTGAGTGCACACTTATTATTCTAAATGTAGATCTTAGAAGTGCACACTCTTTAGCAGCGTACGCTATCATGAGTTCCCCCCCCCCC